CAAAACCAAAAACAAAAAGGCCCTTCAGGCTGTTATACAATCACAGGAACAAAACAAGAGAAGTGAGTGACCGGTGATGATCAAACAGCCTCACAGTGCAACAGGAGGGCGGGGAGGATCCCTGATCAGAGAGCGGGACAGAGAGGGGGAGAGTAAAAGTGTTACATCAGAGGAGCGAGGACGAGAGGAGGGGAGAAAATTGATTGTATAATAGAGCACTGGCACTGGAGTTTGAAACACAGTGTGTCAAAAGGTGAAAACACCATCTCATATCCCGTTGCCGTCTTGTTAATAAAAACTTCAGAAGAGCGTAATCGGAGCGGTGCTTGAACTCAGGCAATTTCCAGTGTTGGAAAGAGCTCATGAAATATCACCAAACACAAACGTGTGACTGCAAGTTAAAGTTTTAGAGGGAGGAAAAAATGTTAGCATTTGCTCTAAGAGATGGAGAAAGATATTAAAAAAGTAAAGGACAGGAGAGGAAGATAAGAAAATAAGGACTGCTCAGCAAGGAAAATTTGATAAACTGGAAATTCAAGTTTGGGTAGATTATAAATGTTGCTTTAAATATCTTTTTTTAATCAGTTATTGGATCGATACTTTTGTGACGAACTTACTTAAGTTGAATGACTTAAAAAAACAATTTAAAGTATATAACTTTTGTATTATTTAAACATTGCATGAGCATGATCTGCAGTTTAGTGCATGTTAAACTAGTTCATTTCCAGTATTGTGATGAATTTTGCACTAATGCAGCGTATTGGACTGTTATAGGGCAAAATGGGGTGTTTAAGGCCGATGTTTGGTTACATCAAGGGTCATTGAATTCAGTCAAATCCACAAAGAGCACACAGCAGCTGCGCAGGTCAGCTGATCACATCCTGTATGCAGAAAAAACAAACCCAGTGCAGCTCACAAGCCAGTTTTTTATATGTCTTATTTCTAAGTGATCGTATTTTACTCTGCATTGCTACACTGGATATTACGGTACCCACACCAGCCAAATCCCACTTTAACCACCGGTCTCATAACACTCAGGTATATTCATGCTAATAGTTAGCCGTGTAATCGTTTAGGTATTTTTTCCTGACAAAACAGGATACTGTAAATTCTACTGTAGACTTTTCATGCTGTTTTATATTCAAGTTAAATAGAAGATAGTTCTGCATTAGTGTTGTCCTGTTTTTCCTGCTGTATATATACAATATACTAAACATTGCCATTGTTTCAAATAACGAGGTCAGCGGAAGTGCAGGCAATCCTCATGAGACTAAAGCAAATACAGTTTTTTCTGCTGTTCTCCATATGATGTCACTGAGAGTGGATATCCCTAATATGGTCATCTTGGGCCGATAGCTGTGGTTGAAAAGAAGAGAAGAGAAGAGAAGAGAAGAGAAGAGAAGAGAAGAGAAGAAGAGAAGAGAAGAGAAGAGAAGAGAAGAGAAGAGAAGAGAATTGGAGGGCCTAGTCACTTTCCATGATGCGTTTGTATCAGGGGGGAAACGAAGCTCAGTCCCACGTTAACCTATTATTAACATTCACAAGAGCTGTTCCCATAGCTATGGCCTGTGTCTTTGGGCTTAGGCGGCGTGTGTCTGGAACATGAGGAGATGAGAAACAGAGTGTTTTTATTAGGGAGGAGTCGTTTGTGCGCTTGTGTGGAAAGCCGAGCAAATTTTGGGAGAACTGCGCAGGCTCTCGGAGCCCCCACCAAACACCCCGCACTCCACACTTTAAGTGCTACCAGCTGCAACACGGAGAAAGCAGGAAGACAGAGGAGCAGACAGTGGGGAGGGAGGGCGAAGACGACACGAGGGGAAATGAGAAAAAGGAGGAGGCGCGGAGGGAGAAGTGAAAGGGGAAAGCAAGCGCATGGAAAGCACTGAAACCGTAGAGAAGGGAGGGTAAAAAAGGGAGTTTTTAGGGAAGTGTGAGCTCAGGAGGGCTCATCCTGGAAACAAATCAATAGCTGATACATTCTTGGGGACTAGTTGGACTGCAGCTCTTCCTCCTTGGCTGCCTATTGGTTGAGAGCTGCCTCGAGGAATGCACCGGAGCCTGCCTATGGAAAAGCAGAGGCAATGACCTCCAGCTCTCTCACAGTGGCACAAAGTGGCAATTGTTTGAGCTTGAAGAAAAGGGGGATGGAGCAGGAATGTAGAAAGAAGCCCATAACTCTTTCTTTTCCTCCACACTCTCTCGTGCTTCTTTTTTTTGTCTCTCACTCTCTCATCCACTGTCCATCTCTTTCAAATCCCCCCCCCCACCTACCCCCTTAACCCGCTCTATTATTCACTATTTCTTGTTCCCTCCCTCGCCATTACCCGACTCACTTTCTGTTTTCATTTGATTCCCCTGTGCCTGACCACTTGAGGTTTCCGATGAGGGCAAAGAACAGGCAAAGACTTTCCAAAATCCAACATGGCCCACTCAGCCTATGAGACTAATCGGTAAAAATATAATGGTAAATAAATAAAGAGAGCTTTGTTTTATTTAAAGGGGTTTAATATAGATCAGTTAGTCATGTAGACACAGATGACTTTAAGATAAAGAGAAAAGAAGGAGGATGCGACTTGAACCAACAACGAGTGTGCTGAGTGTTTAGACACCAACTCCTTCAAGTATGGCACTGTGGAAAATTTGCTTAGTCAAATTTTACGGGAGATTTGGAGGAGAAAGTTGAGACACCAAATTTAAAGCTGCAACCAGGAGGTGGACAGCTCAGCCTTGCTTACAATTACACCTACTAGCAGCACTAAAGCTCAATCAACAACATTGTTTTTGACACCTCAGCTTTAGGCGGATAAAAAAAAAAAGTTAATTTGAGAGCTTAAAAAGTGCTTGTAGGTGGATTTTGTTACCTTCAGCCAGAACCAGGCTTATGCATTTCCTAGCAACTACAGCTAAACAGATTTATTACACACCTGAAAATATTCTTCCGGTTCTCTTATGAGATAAGAAATGTGAAAATTAAACACAGTGATAGCCAGTAACTACCTCATACTAGGCATTCATGTGTGAAAACTTCAGCAGCATGTGTGAAGGAAGGGAAGAGGAGTACTTCTCCATCTATAGTTTCACAGTCGGTGTCAGTTACCGAGGCAGATTTATACTAGCTGTCAACAAACCTGCACCTCTACCACTGACACAGCCTTTCAGTGTTTTGTCTATCATGTCTCCTTTGACATGCGTCACTTTCTTTGTGCTTTCTGCCTTTATCAGATCTTCTATAAGTGCAATCTCTCAGGCATTACATTAGCCAGATAGGTGAAGCAGTCTCTGTGACGGTCGATACTCCAGATCAGCCTAGTTAGCTCTTTATCGTCACCATCTAACATGCTGCAAATGCAGTTCTTTGTGCCAAAAAGCAAACAAAGTCCCAGCCTGGCAAGGCCGAGAACTAGGAGTCAAACTGCTGAACTTATCATTGAAAAGCATATATTTTGCAGCCTAAGCCACCATCACCAGTCAGTCTTAACCTGAGTGGTTGTAAATTAAACTAGCATTCAAAATGCTCTTAAAATTCTGTGAGAGCCTCGTATTATTGAACTGTCAGCATTTCAACAATTTAGGTGTACTAGGAGACGCAGTATGTGCAGAGAAAACTTTTATCGCATTAATTTTATGTTCTTTCTCTTTAAAGATTATTGAAGCTACTCTTTCATTCCTGACTAAGCTGCATAATTTACCATTAGGAGTCACTCCTCACTGTACCCATTAATAACGCTGATTTTGGCTACACACAGAGAATGTGCTGTCTGGGGTATTTTCTTGCACCAATAAAACATTTCTGCTCCTCTTTTTACCTTAGTCATCACAGCTTTTGTTTGTGCTGCTCTAGCTAACCAGTTGTGCTTTAACATCTTAACTCCAGTCAATCCAAATTGAATTATTCAGCGATTTGTTGTTATTCTGGCAGAGTCTTCTGGTTAATTTGTTTATCACAGACGCTGGTCTCCCAACCTTCCCCCCACAGCTCGCTCAGCAAGGCCAAAAAGACTTCATTTTGGCAAACCCCTAAGAGCTGGCTGATACTTGTCTTCACGAAGCTCCTCCTTTTACTCCCTTCTCCCTTCCAAGCTGCCAGGAAAACAGCCAGAACTGGCTGCTCAAATGACATAAGACCATCTTTATCATGTTGCTGGGACGCTCCTGATCTCTTCAGTTAGTCCCTGCTATGCTACAAGGTGATGTGAGTGCAGCGCTTCATGTGACTGCGTCACTCTGCATTCAAGTAGCTTGTTTCAAACTTTTATTTCTCCATTGCTCTTTCTGGCAGTGCATGGTGAGTGCAGAGCATGCCCTCAGCCACAGAACAGCAGTGGCCAGTGGTTTTCTCAAACCCGGGCGGTTCCAGATAAACAACTGTCTCCTTTCTATCTAAGTCACTCTGATGCCCGTTTTGCAACTAGTTCCCAGGTTGTCTCCTCCAGAACTCATGTGCACAATTTTTCCTCAGTTGTAGGGATATCCTGGACAAGAGATAGAGGGGTCAGAGGGGAAGGAAAAGCCACAGCGCTGAAACGGCCAGTGGAACAGGGAAGCATGTTTTAGCAAGGCCACTCACCTTTCTTGTGACCGCTGGATCTAGATAACTCCTCAGCTTTTGGAGGTACGTGTGAGGCGGGTTTTTCACTTGGAATCGCTCCTGTAAAAAGGAACAAAAAACAAAAATACTGAAATGAGCAGGGGTGGGAGGAAACAAGACGAGAGGAAGAAGGGCAGAAGCTAAACATCTGGACAGTTCTCGTGTAACAATAGTGGAAGTTATATTCACAGTTTCACAGTTTTGTTTGACAGAGCCACTTTGTTCATTCAGATGACTGCACACACACAGACACACACACCACAGCCTCACAAGTCTGAACTCATGGCTAGTAAACAGCAACCAGCCTTTATATGCAAAACAAATTTCATTGATGATCTTTTCATTAATTTCAGCGTGCTGTAAAGAGCTGCCTGCCTGAGAACTGTGGCCACACCTGGCTACATGAATGTTTAAGTCTCCCAAGTTCAACCAGCAAGACTTTTGACGCCAGACCGTTATATACGATGCTCTAAATATATACGATACAGCAGATTAGTGCTGGATTTGGATCACTGTGTTGAGCAGGAAAGAGCGTTTGGATCAGGCTGAGTGCCGCATCGTAGCCCACACTGCATCAGTTTGAGACTGCAGGCCATATCACAGAGAGGAAAATGTGTTCTTCATGCAGTGCGGTCACATTTCTCCAGCGTTCTTCCTAATTTTGAATGCTCTGATCTTGTATAGATTTATAGATCGGGAGGTGACATAGATCGGCGGCTCGTTTCACTTACTAGCAAGAATATTTAAAAAGAAAAAAGAAAGAAAGTTACTGTCCAGCGTCAGATTCCCCAAAAAGAGGAGCGAGAATTTAGCAGGCAGTGACAAGAACTTGATCTCCCAGTGGCTTTCCTCTAACGGACAGCCATATCTCTTCAAACAAATGTAACAGGATACAGTGATTCTGATCTCGTTAAAGGTCAGCGACAGTTACAGGTTGGCCGTACACGTGTGCGAATTACTGGAACACGTACACTTACAAACCTCCGTCACTGGTAACCAAAAGCCATCCATATCACATGCTTTTATGCAAACAACTTCAAACTGTCAGCTTCATCAGCGCAGTATTTGCTGTGCCGCTTTTGTCATGAATCAGATCCTGGAAAGGTGTCCACCCTCCGTACACAGATACAGAGAACGGATCGACAACATCACATTTGTCACTGCCACAGGGTCTGTTGCATAAAAACAGGAAAGACGAGAGAGCCGTCAGGAAAAAGAGCCGGCTCTCAGCGGACAGCAACACGCAGGCGGACAGCTCTAAAGCTTGGAAGCTCGAGCTGGAGAGTCTGCAAAATAACGAGCGAACGGTACGGTGCAAATCATGACGAGCGCAAAGACCTGTGAGGTGTGTAAATACCTCACAAATATAAAAGTGTGAATTTATAAAGACCGGTGAAATCACAGTGAGCAAATATGTTTGGTATGTAGAGGAATATAAGCGGGTTTCAACATGCTACGTGGCAATGAAGAGTCCAGAATAGCAGGTTTAAGTTAAGTTTGAGCAGTGATCTTTACTTCCTGCTCTACATCTGAGAAACCTTTTAAAATTAGAGTTGCCAACCAGTTGTTGTACTCTCACAGCGACTCATCTATATGAACTACGCCTCTGTACAACGCTCCGATGGCTAGAAATAGATCCCAACCACAGCATTCGACTGGGAAGAGTTGATCGTGCCGATCTCCCTCTTTGTACTCAGGATGTTTTAACCTTCCGTCCACCTCAAGAACAACCTCAACAATTTATCAATATTTCATAAATCCTCATAATTGCTGGAAAGAAAACGTTTAATATTTCATCCGCAAGGGCTGTTTTCCAGAGGGGGTGTGTACCTGTCGTCTCTGCTTCTCTCTGTTGCCATGGTTACATTAAGGGCTTCACTGTAGCTATGACACAGAAAGTAACTTAGTCCCACAGCTGCCTGCAGTGTCATGGGTATAGGTTTATTTTGAAAACAAAAAATGAATAAAGAACTGGAAGAACTGGGTTAGCAATATTCTTTGATGTCAACAGTAAAACTGAGGAAAATGCATTATTTCATTCAATAACTTCAACCTAATACCAAACAAAGTGTAGGAAAGAGATGGAGCATACTTTCAAATGACTGATGTCCACCTTTATTGTCTGAGCAGGTTAAGCTTCTAAATTTGGTTTTCCAAATGTAACCTTTCTCATAAGAGAGAATTATATAACTAGATGTTATATCTGACAGGATTAAAGCATTACCATAGTAAATCTATATTTGGATGAATTTACAGTGGGTTTTTTCCTTGCTAATTTCAGTACCACACAAAGTCAATGCTGTAACTTTCCTGCGCTGAAAATTAGTTTCCTTTCAGAACCGATTTTCTGGCTGGAAAAATTTCCACCATAGTTTTCCAGCTCAAAGCGGTCTGTCTCAAGGTTCCCATCCTCACAGAAAGGATAAGAAACTTTAAATTCACAATATAAAACGTTTATTATGAACATGAACTGTGGCGAGCATGTTCCCTTCTTCTGTGCGTGACCATCGAGAAGCCAAGACTGTCAGCAAAAATCACCGGGCAATGTTTAGCTTCAATGAAAGCGACTATTTTTACTTCAACTGTGACAGTTTGCAGTCAGCCCCATGAAGATCTCTGACTGCTGGTCAGCAGTCTGGTGGTTTCTCTCTGTTACAGTTCCTCTCAGGGTCAGTAACTATCAATACAGTTTTTGGTGGGTGGTGGTCTTGATCTTGTCTCTGCTTTTCTCCTCTGTTCAAGGAGGCAGAAAAACTTTCTGGCACAGAGGTTGCGGACTGAGTAGAGTGCTCAGACCACAGCTCATTGCACAACGTGCACCCTCTGTTATTTCCTACACGCAGCACTGACGCCAATAAGAGGCTGAGTTTTTTCAACTAGCTAAGTGATGTGCGCTCCCTGCTGTGCCACTTAACCCACTTGACCAAGGAAGCCAGGGTGGCGTGTAAAGATGGCAAAAGGCTTACTGGATAAAGGCAGGGCAATGGAGCATGAGTGTTGCGGTCACGACACACAGTGGGGTGGGACCTTCTCCTAGATTACACGCTCAGCTGACAGTCCAGACAGCACATATAACATCATTCTGTGTGAACCTTACCCAGATGTTTTCAGCATTTAAAATGATTTAGTAATTAAGCAGCTACAATCAATTAAATGTGACTTATGCAGCAGCTACATCGGATCACATCATTTAGATGAGTGGCTGATGCTCACCTGATCACAGATCAGTTCCCACTTCTTCTCATTGTCATACTGCCGCAAGAGCCGCGCTTTGTCTGGAGGAAGATTCATTGAGTTCTGAAAGAGAGAGAAAGGTCCCAGTTAATCAAAACGATGATCAATGTAATGAATAAATACCATCATTAATCCCAAACATAAAATCAAACTAAGAAACCTATCATCATTGGTAAGATGCAAGCATCTATACACTATACTCTGCACCAACAACATCAGGGTGTCCGTGGCTCCCAAAGAGAGTAATTAAGAGATTGCAAGCTTAATGGACCTCTGACCTAACAGCTGGTTACGGGCTCTCTCGTTGCTAAACATAGCAATGAGCAGGCAACAGAAGAGTTACATTAGCCAAAGTGTGAGTGAGGATCATTGGGGAAAGGTCGCCAAAAATGTTTACATGTGCTCTTCCCTCCTGTTCATTTGGGATAATCCAGCTGTAAATGAAACTGACCCCTCCCTAAGGCGTCTTAGAGGTTTTACAAAAATGGGCCACAATATATAAACAGAAAACAAAAGGAAAGTTTAGAGGGTAACACAAAAAGTTCCACTTTGTTAAGAAGAAAATATTCTGTTCTGTAAACAAGATTGGACAAACAGCGCACAGAAAAAGATTTTCTATGATTAAGGAAATCTGACCATGAATTTGTTTTCCAACTAATGTGTGTGTGTGTGTGTGTGTGTGTTAGTTTGAGCCTGTTGCTAAGTAGAATTTTTTTACATTCCTTACAAGATTTTTGCCATCAGTCTACAAATAAAATATCAAGTCTTCCACTAACCAAACAGCTGATGGTTTATCTGCTGAGGCAGGACAGGTAAACATCTAACCCTGCTTTCTAAGTTACTGCTATGACTCTTCAGCCAGTTATCCCAGGACAAGAAACGAAGGCGTGAGCACAGAAGTGAGTCTGAAGTAAAGGTGGATGCTCTGAACATCTTTCAGTATTTTGCTTTGAAACTTTTTTTTAAAGCTGTTCCTCTTTGATGAGGTTAAGCAAGTGATTCCCTGTGAAGAGCCTGTTGTTCAGTCACACCTAATGTGACCCATGTGTTGGCGAACACATTAAGACTGAAAATAAGCTTAGATCGTGCAAAAAAACACAACTCTTGCACAACTCTTTCTCTTTATCCGGTTTTACTTTATCGACATCTGCTTCATGTACGAACACCTCTGCAGCTGTCCAAAATGTTGCACTTTCCAGCATTATTCACCACACCCTCGTGTGGATTTAGAAAGGCTACAAACAATTATCCAGCGCTCCCAGTATGCTGCGCAAAGAACATGGAAACACAAGTGCGACCCAGCTGGATACTGGTTAACCAGCTATTCTTATAGAAATAAAACAGAAACACATTAAGAGCACAAAAATAGCATAGAGGTGTATAGCTAAACTGAGTGTTTCTGCAGCTTTCGGTCATAGAGAATACACAATAATACAGATGCACAATACAGCTGTGTGAGAGAGAGCCATTCAGCAAAGAGCAGGGGAAAAAATTAGAAAACATAACCATTAGAGTTGAGGTTGTTTTTCCCATCCACACTGGTTGGGCTGCATCATCTATCAGAGCGGGTACCGCACTCAGCTTCTATTTTTCCTTCGCTGGATTTTCCAAAGAGCACGAGGGGGGGTTGAGAGGAAGATGGATAAGAAATATCTCGAGATCAGACCCATTTCCATGAGTGAGTAACACGATAATCGAGTCAGACCTGCTCTTAGAGCTATTGTTTTGTTGTTTTAGAATTTGCTGGAGATTTTTTTTGCATAATAACGTGTGGCAAGCCTATTCGTCTTTATCACCATTTTAATTATGAAATGGTCCATTTATAAAGAGACCAATCAATGCGATGCCAGGATCGGGCTAAGGCACATCTTTGGATTTTAGTAACAGCTATCGAGAGGAAGGCTAATATACATAAAATAAAGCTCATCCTAATAAAAACATAATATCTAAGCCAGTTTTTGGACCTTTTTTAAAAAAAACTCCATTATGTTCATTAGGTCATGTTTTCCCCCCCACATATTTTTGTGCTTCAGAATAGTTAGTGATGAACTGAACTGATCCCAGTAGACCTGTGAAACGAATAGAAATCCAACTGACAGCTCAGTACTGTGGAAGAATCTTGCACCTGTGCGATATGACCAAAATCTCATATCCCGATATAAGAATTCTATCGTCCCGATAACGATATAAATCACAAAAATGTAACATTTTCTGTAAATTCTGTGAATCTCGTCTTGCGGGAAGTGTTTCCAGCTGCGCGTCATGTAGCTGGAGTCGAGTGTTTAACCTCTGTATGAAACTATACATTTTTAGACATAAGTTGTAACGTCCGCCGTTTTCTTTGTGAGTAATTATTACACGGCGTGCTGCGGGGAAAAGCCTGTTCTAACGTTTGAGTCTAAGGTTTATTTATTAGCACCCGGCGGCTCTTTTTTACTTCTCATCCGTAAATAATCTGCTCTTTCACGTGATTCAGTTTATTTTGAAAAGTCTCAACAGGATCTTGAGCTTTATTGTGAAAGGTTTATGTGGAACATAAACAAGCGGACACGAGATGGTGTTACCGTCGTTGTTGCTAACCACAACGCTTAAAAACGGGCTTGTCCGTCTGTAGTGTGGTTATATAAAATATAAGAGAAAGAGAGAACTTTAAGAAATGAATATAGCCACTACAGTGACCATCAAAACGATGAAAAAATATCGCCGTAAAGAGTTTATTTTGCGACACCACAAAACAAACAATAGCGTAAAATGAAACAACAGCCCTACTTGCACCACCTATTATTTTTTTTGTTTTGCCTCCTAGAAGACAGACTTCAGCCAGCAGTGTTGGGGATCTTCTGAAAACTGATGGAAATATGAACATAGAAAAGTATCCTCAGAGTCTGATCCACCAAGTATCATCATCTGGAAAGCTTTTGATTTTTCAGCCTAACATTGATCCCAAACAGTGTCAGTGCAGTGAAACCCCGCATGGATAGAACAAACACGGAGTCAAACACTATCAGCCGTGGATTGGCCTCCCCAAACCATGGACCTCAACATTACTGAAACAACCTGTAATCATCTTGGTGACAAATGGAACGAAAGGCAGCCAACATCCAAAGCTCTGAATGTCTTTTAAGAAGCCTGGAGAACTATTCCTGAAGATGACTTAAATAAATTACAAGAAAGCTTGTGTAAGATAGTTCAGGCAGTGTTGAAGAATAAATGTGGTCATACTAGATATTGACTTTCAAACTTGCTAGAATTGCACAAACTATTTTCTCTTATATACTGTTATACACTCTTATATAAATTGTTCACCCCTTTCTCATTTTCCTGGCAAAATAGTAAAAAAAAATAGGGGTGGCTAATGGATATGGTAAAAACTCAGGTTGTAGCCTGTAGATATTTAACTAAAGGAAATTGAATTAGTATTCTGCCGAAGCTTTGAGTCGAATGATCGCTGCTGTGCTGACTGCAGGGAATTGGGAGTCATAAGGGTTCTATTGACTCATTCTGGCTGCTGACCAGATGACTAGGCTTTGTATCCATTCGTCTTCCCTAAACACATTAAAATACAATCTGATGCCTGAGCGGACGGTCACATTAAGTGACAGAAAACCACCAGCGGGTTTACTATGTTACACACAGAAGTGCTTTTACATTTTGGAGAGAGAAACCTGAAGGAGGGTAGACTTTTACTTCTAAACGTCTACCTTGTTTTGTTTGGAATTAAGAGTACCTTTGGCCTGGGTGCTTGTGTGGCTTGGGTGGTTTGCTGAGTCGCTGTGGGTGCACTGAACTGCTTGGTGAGGCTCCAACTAAAGCAAAAGACCACTTCTACCAGCCTTCATTTCATCCCACTGCTAATGAGCTGTGACAAGCACTCAGCTCACTGGGTTACCCCATGTCTACAACCACACTGGTATCTGTGCAACTGTGTTATTAATGGGGTGCAGCTGAGGAGGGCTGGGCAGCTTTTAACCAACACCTGATGGCAGACCACCCTGACGAATACGCACCTAAATTTAACTGGTTAGTAAAACAGTAAAGCATAACAGAAATTTGAGACACAGGCAAACATGCTAAAAGGATGCACTCATTCATGCTGAAAATTAATAATCTGATATAAAATGGTGGCAAAGCCATTTTAAGTATTGGTAAAGCAGATGCGTGCAACCAGTGCAGCTGCAAGGAAGTTTAAATCCTAAAAAAGCACAATGAAAGGGATTTAGTCAACAAGACAATCCTGTTGGGAGACCCTGACAAAGCATCGGAGACTCCCTCCAGACGGCAACAAAACGCAAACGACAAGAGGGAGAAAAAAAAATAGTGGAATTCACTGTGCTAGATGACCATCCCCTCTCAGTGAAATGTGGGGTTTCAATGCTCTCCAGCCTCCCTTCATGCTGCCAAAGTCACATTTCATCTCCAAAGCAGCTGTCCCACATCTGTACAGTTACTGAGTGAGTTCCTTTAGAAACAAAGCTGTAGCCTGAACATGAATCCAGGTCATTAATAACTGTCAGTACTGTGGAGACAACGAGCCAGTATGTCGTGCTAAACTATGCCATATTTACTCAGATACAGGGGGCCAATTTTAGTGTAGCTCAACTTTAACAGTTGCTACTAATAACTTTATGCCAATGTTTAACTCACATCAGGTCTTAAGGTTCATAAATATAGAACTTATTAGAGCCCACGTATCCTATCATTATCCAGCTTAAGTCATAAAAGAAGTAAAAATAGACTGCTGGCTCAAAGCCCACCAACCACCACTACCTACCAGGAGGTCTGCTCAGGCACAGCCTTCACAGCACAGCTGGCTAGAAAAGCAAACACACAGCCCACATGAAGGACCTGCTTCAGTCAGTAATGCTGCTACAAGATCTAAACTATATTGACACAACTGGCTAACTAACTACTTGCTTTGGAACGTGTCTAAAATGTAGTGTTTTGCACCTTTAGGTGTGCAAACACACACACACAAACAAAACACACATTTTTATTTCCATTTTCTTAAAACACCCTGCAGGTCTTCAAATGTGTCGCAGAACAAACTAGGAGTAAAACATATA